AAAGTTCTCCTTGAAGTAATAGGACATAAGGGACATTGCCTTGTTTCTGTGTTTAGACTGTCCAACTGCTTGGTGTAAACGAGCCCTAAGATAAGTAGAAATTCTATTTAAACGTGAACATACTCTATTCATTTAAAGGAGAACTATGGGGCAACCTTTTTCCCCCATAGTTCTCTTCAGGGTCATGGCAGGACATATACTGTGTCCCAAAGCTCAGCATATAGCTGTATTGTGCGCTGTATGCTGAGCACATACAGCCGGGACAATACTGTCCAGATCCACACCGCTGGCTGAATGACAGCTGGCTCTGCCTCTCCAGAGTCAGAGCCAACTGTGCCCGCCCCCTCCCCCGCCCATTCAGCACTGGAGAAAAGGAGAGGGGGGCAATCCCTCCGGGGAGCTGTGACTGACAGTCACCGCTCTCTGCAGGGAGACGATCGGGAAGTGAGCGATTGGCAGTATGTGTTCTCTGACTTCCCGATCAATAGAGCCGACCTAAGACAGCTTCTTTGTCACAGGTCGGCCTGAATTATGGGGATGAGTGTTTTTCACCCCCCCTATAATTCTATTTTAACAATTGAAAGTGTAGTTCCACTTTTGCAGTCAACTTTGAGAAACCCCTCTAATATATTTCTGTGACTTAAAGTCAGCAGATAGTGAGTGTATGCCGCTTACAGAGCAGACCTAAGCCAGAGCCGAGAAGGATCTAGACAATTGTTGGGATCCAGCTCAGCTGTCTAAATGACAGCTGGCTCTGCCTCTCTAGAGACAGTCGTGCCCACCCCCTCCTGTCAGAGAAGGGAGGGGGAAATCCCTGCATGGGGGCAATGGCTGACAGTCACTGCTCTCTGCTGGGAGAGGAGACAGAGAGCTGAGTGATCAGTGGTCACATGATCGCTCAGGACTTGGTCAGAGAGCCGGTGGGTGACAGCTGTAGTGTCCCATGCCGGCTCTAAGCAACAGGGAGAGTATATTTTACTCTCGCAATACTTCTCCTTTAACCACTTGATGACCGCAGTGTTAAACCCCCTTCTGCAGAGAGCCGTGACAGGATCGAGAGGTGAGCGAACACCGGTATCTGTTCGCTCACCTCCCGATCAACTGAGCCGACCTGTGACAGTCTCATTGTCACAGGTCGGCTAGAATTATGAGGTGAGTGGAAATCACTCATCTCATAGTTCTCCTTTAAGGAAAAAGTACTGAAAATTTTGAAAAAAAATACCTGTTTCCCCTATATTAAATTATAAAACATGTATTATTACCCAATTTTTTGGTAAAATATAAAAAAGGGGGTAAATATAAAAAAAAGTCACAACCACTCCAGCGTACAGAATAGTCAGTATTTATTGACTTCCATAGTGTCACATCATCAAAGGCCATTCAATGTTTATTGAACGTTGGGTAAATAGACACCAAACATGTCATGCCTTAATATTGTGTGCACCCGCGTAGCAGCCAGAGAAATGACAGGTGAATGCGGAAGTGATGTAATACACATCACTTCCGCATTCAGACTTCGGAGGGAGATCAGCAAGGAGGAAGATGCTACACTTCCTCCTGACACCCGCCCAAGCCGGTCACGGGCCGCAGAGGGGACAGAGGAGCCTGGGATGGAAGGTGAGGGTGCAGGAGGGGGAGCACACAGGGCAGCACGTAAAAGACGGATATATAGCCACCGATCGCTTGTATGTGTAACAGTCGCTAGCGGCTGTTTACATTTGACAGGTTTTTTTCTGCCCATGCACGAACGCTAGGGGGCGCACGTGAGCAAAAAAAGCCGTATATTTACGCCGCCCCGCCGATGGGAGCTTGCCGTCCGTCCGTTTTTTTACAACGGGTGGACGGCAAGCAGTTAAAGTAGGACTCTGGGCACAAAAACATACACTGAAATATATTTCTTAGTGGCTAAAAAGGATGTCAATCCTCAGAATGCACCAAATGCTTTTGCAAACACAGATATTACCTTGTATAAGTAACAGTGACATTATCACTATGCTGTACATAGCCTGAGCAGAAAGCAGAGCCGTGGGAGGAACCCAGCAGGCTCCAGCCACTACAGGCTATGTGCAGAAAATTACAAGGGGGTGGATACAAGACCGGTCACCCTGCACAGGGATATACTGCAGCAGTGACTGGTCTATTACTGGGAGCGCCTGCACAGAGGCAAAGTTTTACCTTGGATAATTACACAGATCCAGAAGAAATACACAAAGCACATCAAGCTTCAAAAAAAAGAATACACATCTCCTGTATATAGACAATATTTTCTCATGCTGAAGTTAGACACCTGAGACAACCTGACAAATTGGAGGATAATTTGTAAATAATAATGGAGTACATTGTAAAGTTTGTAAACAATGGTAAAACCCACATGACATTGTGGGGAGCACAGCGGCCCTGTTCATGGGATAGACTGTTTGCTCTTGTACACAAATGTCATGTGGGTCTGCATAGGACACTACATCTTATACACAACAGCCATAACTGAGCTCTACCTCTGGTCACTACGCATAGCCAGATCACAAATCTGTCCCTGGGGAGTCACTACACACAGCCAGATCACAAATCTGTCCCTGGGGGGAGTCACTACACACAGCCAGATCACAAATCTGTCCCTGGGGGGGTCACTACACACAGCCAGATCACAAATCTGTCCCTGGGGGGGTCACTACACACAGCCAGATCACAAATCTGCACACAGTCAGATCACAAATCTGTCCCTGGGGATCACTACATACAGCCAGATCACAAATCTGTCCCTGGGGGGGTCACTACACACAGCCAGATCACAAATCTGTCCCTGGGGGGGGCACTACACACAGCCAGATCACAGTTCTGTCCCTGGGGGCGTCACTACACACAGCCAGATCACAGTTCTGTCCCTGGGGGGATCACTACACACAGCCAGATCACAGATCTGTCCCTGGGGATCACTACACACAGTCAGATCACAGATCTGTCCCTGGGGATCACTACACACAGTCAGATCACAGATCTGTCCCTGGGGATCACTACACACAGTCAGATCACAGATCTGTCCCTGGGGATCACTACACACAGTCAGATCACAGATCTGTCCCTGGGGATCACTACACACAGTCAGATCACAGATCTGTCCCTGGGGATCACTACACACAGTCAGATCACAGATCTGTCCCTGGGGATCACTACACACAGTCAGATCACAGATCTGTCCCTGGGGATCACTACACACAGTCAGATCACAGATCTGTCCCTGGGGATCACTACACACAGTCAGATCACAGATCTGTCCCTGGGGATCACTACACACAGTCAGATCACAGATCTGTCCCTGGGGATCACTACACACAGTCAGATCACAGATCTGTCCCTGGGGATCACTACACACAGTCAGATCACAGATCTGTCCCTGGGGATCACTACACACAGTCAGATCACAGATCTGTCCCTGGGGATCACTACACACAGTCAGATCACAGATCTGTCCCTGGGGATCACTACATACAGCCAGATCACAAATCTGTCCCTGGGGGGGGCACTACACACAACCAGATCACAGTTCTGTCCCCGGGGATCACTACACACAGCCAGATCACAAATCTGTCCCTGGGGAGTCACTACACACAGCCAGATCACAGATCTGTCCCTGGGGATCACTACACACAGCCAGATCACAGTTCTGTCCCTGGGGGGAGTCACTACACACAGCCAGATCACAAATCTGTCCCTGGGGGGGGGGGTCACTACACATAGCGAGATCACAAATCTGTCCCTGGGGATCACTACACACAGCCAGATCACAAATCTGTCCCTAGGGATCACTACACACAGCCAGATCACAGATCTGTCCCTGGGGAGTCACTACATACAGCCAGATCACAGATCTGTCCCTGGGGAGTCACTACACACAGCCAGATCACAGATCTGTCCCTGGGGATCACTACATACAGCCAGATCACAAATCTGTCCCTGGGGGGGGGGGTCACTACACACAGCGAGATCACAAATCTGTCCCTGGGGGGGGGGGTCACTACACACAGCGAGATCACAAATCTGTCCCTGGGGGGGGGGGTCACTACACACAGCGAGATCACAAATCTGTCCCTGGGGGGGGGGGTCACTACACACAGCGAGATCACAAATCTGTCCCTGGGGGGGGGGGTCACTACACACAGCGAGATCACAAATCTGTCCCTGGGGGGGGGGGTCACTACACACAGCGAGATCACAAATCTGTCCCTGGGGGGGGGGGTCACTACACACAGCGAGATCACAAATCTGTCCCTGGGGGGGGGGGTCACTACACACAGCGAGATCACAAATCTGTCCCTGGGGGGGGGGGTCACTACACACAGCGAGATCACAAATCTGTCCCTGGGGGGGGGGGTCACTACACACAGCGAGATCACAAATCTGTCCCTGGGGGGGGGGGTCACTACACACAGCGAGATCACAAATCTGTCCCTGGGGAGTCACTACACACAGCCAGATCGCAGATCTGTCCCTGGGGATCACTAACATACAGCCAGATCCCAGATCTGTCCCTGGGAAGTCACTACACGCAGCCTGATCACATCTCTCCCCTGGGTGGATGGTGCTGAATGACATGAGGATGGCGCCCCACAAATCCAAATGTAGAAGTAGTCTCGCACACCTAGGTCCAATGCATCAATCTGTCCTTTTATTGACGTCAGATACACATGACATCACAAGTACAAAGCAATGTTTCGGAACCTAGCATGGTCCCGTCATCAGGCAAGAAGCACAATGTGCCGATCTCTGATCTGAGTGTCACAGACTAGCACACATAGGTGACAGCAAACTTCTACTAAACTATCACATTCTGAGCTCATAGTAGTCCATAATCCGCAGTGACAGCTTCGTTTCTACGGGACTTGTGTGACACCCCCGATCACATCCATGCTCGCTCGGCCACCATAAACAAGTGTAAACTACTGAAATAAAGTTGGCAATCAATAAACCCCGCCCCCGCCTGTGTGCATAGGCTCCGATCTTACCTGCACCCCATGCAGGCCGATCTGCACCGGGGAGTGACTCATATTGCCGGCCCCGGGATCTTGCAGCTCAGCCCCGGCCCCGAGATCCACAACAAGCCGAGGACACCTTCAGCACAGCCGGGCTCCCCTGGATCGGCCGGACCGGGCCCAGTAGGAGGAGAGATTGCAGGGGACACTGGCAGAGTTTGGCAGCAGGAAGAGATTTGCTGTATTATTCCGTGTGTGATGATGATTTCCGGCTGCAGATCAGAAGTGTCAGTGCGAGTCTTCCGCGGAATATGTCAGCTCTGTGTCTCTGCGATGTTTACAGACAACTAGACCAGGAAACAAGAAATATAAAAAACAATCAGCACCCACCCCCTCCTCCTCCTCCAGAGCCTCGTCCCCTCTCCCAACTCCTCCTAGTCACTGTATGGGCTAAAGCTGGGTAATCATGTCACTGCTGTCACAGCAGATCAGCTGCTGCATGCTAGGGGACACTGTCCTATAGCAACAGGTCTGGGAAAACACAGCAAACTGCCCCCTCCCCTACACATCCAGGGGCAAGATGATACACAAACTGCCCCCTACCGATTCAGGGACAAGATGACTGACAAACTGCCCCCCTACCTATTCAGGGACAAGATGACTGACAAACTGCCCCCCTACCTATTCAGGGACAAGATGACTGACAAACTGCCCCCCTACTTATTCAGGGACAAGATGACTGACAGACTGCCCCCCTACATATCCAGGGGCAAGATAATTCACAAACTGCCCCTTACATATCCAGGGGCAAGATGATTCACAAACTGCCCCCTACATATCCAGGGGCAAGATGATTCACAAACTGCCCCCGTACATTTCCAGGGGCAAGATGATTCACAAACTGCCCCCGTACATTTCCAGGGGCAAGATGATTCACAAACTGCCCCCGTACATTTCCAGGGGCAAGATGATTCACAAACTGCCCCCCTACATATCCAGTGGCAAGATGACTGACAAACTGCCCCCTACATATCCAGGGAGAAGATGATTGACAAAATGCCCCGCCAACTTATCGAGGGACAAGATGATTGACAAACTGCCCCTCTACATATCCAGGGGCAAGATGGTTTACAAACTGCCCCCCTACATATCCAGGGACATGATGGTTCACAAACTGCCCCCCCTACATACCCAGGGAAAGGTGATTCACAAACTGCCCCCCTGAATCTACATATCCAGGGTCAGGATGAGGAGAATTTAAACTTGAGCAGACAGATTCTGGAGCAGTTGCCCATAGTACCCCATTAGCTTCTGTCTATAGTTTGTTCAGTTAAACTTTGAATATAAATATAGAAGCTGATTGGTTGCCATGGGAAATTTCTGCAGATTTTGTCTGCTCCAGTATTGGAGGCTGTAATTTATCCGGTATTTATCCGGTTCCAGTATTTCAGGCTGTAATTTATCCGGCTACAACAGCACATAAACTGTGTTTTATCAGCTTCTTTGGGATCTATAGGTGACAATAGGGGTCTAATAGATCCATGATGTCTCCACAAAGAGGACCTGCCACTGTATCTGTGAGAGCAATAAAGCTCAGTGTAAAAAAAAAAAAGTTGAAAAAATGAATATCACATATAAAATACATTTTAAAAACTATTTTTTAAAACAAAGTTCCCTGCCATCACATACATGCACATACAAATGCAAACACGTGTTGGGTCTGTGTCCTGCTGTAGCCAGCACGAAAGTGTAGAAGAGACTCCGGCCGGTGACTCTGAAATCCCCTGCTGCTCCCCCCTCATACCCCTGCTGCTGCTGCTCCTCCGTCCGCTAAGACAGTTCACAGTGTTACAAGTGTCCCTTCTTTGATTGAGAGCGAAAACTTCTGGGTACCTCTGGTGAATGTATTATTAAACAAATACGGAGCACAGACATCTGACACTTTGAGATATATAACCAAAAGGAAACAGTTTAATCAAGTGGAAAAGGAGCGGACACTTGTAACAATAGCCAGCCTGCTATTGGATATTTTAAATTGCAATAGCCAATAGCAGGCTGGCTATTGCTCCCAGCCACTGCCTGCTGGAGTTACATTCAGATGCCTCAGCAGCTGAATCCAGTAAAGTGGAAAGGTCACCTTAAAGAGAACCTGTCACCTCCAATGTGCCCCCCCCCACCCCATGTGATAGCAATGTGTAAAAAAAAATTAAAACGTAAAAAATATAATAAAAAATCCCCCCCCCTCAAAGAAATTAAAAAAAGTCCCCCAACAATGCAAACGCGTGTATACTAACAGAAACACAAGTCGGTTGCACCTACATAGAAAAACGACGATTGCACTACACATGTCAGGTATCGCTGCGTATTTTATTTTAAATAATTTTTTTTAATCCAATTATCCGGATAATTGGACTTAAAAACTAATCGATTATGCTGCAGCTGCTGCCCTACAGCACACCAAAGTAAAATCTTCAACTAGTGGTCATTTAATTGATGTACACACATCTCATCACAAAGCAATGTTTCGGGGCCACTCAGCGTCCCTTCATCAGGCATGAGCTTTGTGATGAGATGTGTGTACATCAATAAAATGGCCACTCGTTGAAGATTTTACTTCGTGTGCTGGTGATATATTTTACTACATCGATTTCCTACCTAGGCACACCCAACACATGTTTGGGTTCGTATGTTCATATATACGGGGACATGGGACTTTGAACAAATTTTTTTATCTATCATATTTAAATTTAAATAAAAATATGTTAAACCTTTTTTTCTTCCTTAACTATTGTTATCACATAGATGGCCCCCTATGTGATAGCACTTTAGTGGTGACAGGTTCTCTATAAGGAGATATTAGGGGTCTATTTGTCTCCTAATGACACAGTACAATGAAGAGGGCCTTATTTTTCAATACAAGTTTTTTAGAAATCGACTGGTTTTACACCTATGCATTGCATTATTTTGAGGTAACACGCACATTTTACAGCACATTGCCATGACATGGGTAAAACACAGAACAAGGAGCTGAAAAGGAGTGCAGGAAAGGAGATTATAATGGGGTCAGGGGATGCACTCTGTGATCCGTCAGTGCTGAAAAGGGCATGCTTGTAAGTAGGGATGCATCGATACCAATACTAGTATCAGTGCCGTTACCGAGTATTTGGGCTCCCAAATAAAATGCTCCCGATGTCTATCCTGATACCGGAACTTCCAGTATCAGGAAGCTGGGCAGCGAGTCATTACACGCTGTCTGGCTTCCTGATTGGCCAGGAAGCTGGCTCCATGCTCTCTTGTCACCAGAGAGCATGGAAGTGGCTTCCTGGCCAATCAGGAAGCCGAGGGGCGGATAATGACTCGTCCCCTGGCTTTCTGATTGGCCGGTAAGCCGGCTCCATGCTCTCTCATCACTTGGTGACGAGGGAGCATAAAGCTGGCTTCCCGGCCAACAAAACACAGGGAGCGCCTCCATCGCGAAATTTTTTTTTTTAATAAAGTAAATTTAAACAGATGCAAACATACTCACAAAAGTCGAGTTTAAAAAGCATGAAACGATAAAGGCATGAGAGACTTAACCCGCCGGCTAGTCTTCCTCCTTGATGGTTAACGTTTCCGAGGTCACGCCTCCTTCGTCAGAACCAATCTTCCCGGCCAATTAGGAAGCCGGGCGGTGTGTAATGACCCACTGCCCAGATTCCTGATTGGTTTAGCCAGCTCCTCGGCTAATGAGGAAGCCAGGTGGCAAGTCATTATACGCCGCTTGGAAAATGTGCCATTTTAATAATGTATTCATTACAAAATAAAATATCAATAGATGTAATGGTGTACTGTGGAAACAGTAAATACATCCTTGCTCTCAGAAGCTGGCATTGCCCTTTCAGCAGAAATTACTGTAGGCATTTTCTATAACTGGCCACCACTCTATCACATTGACACAGTGACATTTTTTGTACCATTCCTACATGCAAACTTTCTTTGGTTGCAAGATGTTTGTGGGTTTCCTTGCAGTGGTGTCACAAGGGGGGTGCAGGGGATGTGGCCTGCACCCGTGTGACACCATTGGAGGGGTGACACCAAAATGACTGGCAGTCATTTTGGTGTCACCCCCTCTGAAAAGTCGGGCACTTGGTCACGGACTGAGAGCCCGACAGTTGCAGGAGAGAGGAGGGGACCTGGCGGTATACCTTATCCCGCCTGGTGAACGTCCCCTCCTCTCAATGCCAGCGTACATCATAAAGATGGCCGCCGGCAGGCATCACAAAGATGATATCACATGTGCGATGACGTCATGCCGGGTGTCACCTGGTATCCGCTCCAGGTGACACCCGGCCTCGGGACGCCCCTGTTTCCTTGCATGACCTGCCTGTTTCAGATCACTAGAAACCTTTTTCATGGCGTTGACTTAGCCAGTTCATAAACCTTAATTTTTTTCTTTTTTGAGCCATTGCTTGGTGGATTTGCAAGTGCGTGGCATCTCTTTGGGTCACATGGAGGGGGAGGGGGTTTCTTGTGCTCTGCTGCACAAGAAACCATGGTCAGTGCTTCCCAGGTGGCTAAGAGGTGGGCAGGGAGACATGTAAGGGCCACCCGCCCAAATATTAGCAACCTGGCACTCTCTGGCTGGCATCCCGCCCAGCTCCTGTCAACCGGTGATGTCACTGGTCAGCAGGAGCTGGGCAAGACACCGGCCAGAGCATCGATCCCCTGCCGCCTCAAGCGATAAAAAAGGCTAGAGCAGGGGTCAGCAACCTTAAACACTCAAAGAGCCATTTGGACCCATTTCCCACAGAAAAGAAAACTCCGGGAGCCACAAAACCCTTTTACATCTAAAATGAAGATAACACGGCATTTATCGTTTTTTTTTTTTACCTTTATGCTATGTATAGCATGTATATAGGTATATGTGAGCTTAATTAAGTACTGGACTCTGGGCTTAGTAACGCACTGGACTCTGGGCTTAGTAACACACTCCCCCCTCCCACCTGCGCTCCTCATTCAGACTCACCTGACAAAAGCCTCACAGCCAGCATCCCAGCCAGACGGTGTGCACTGCAGGGGGCGGGGCAAGTGACACACACTTCTCCTCTCCCCCCCGCCTGTTACTAGGGACTCGGC